ATGCTAGCTCTGTAGGTATTTATTTACATGCACATTCAAATATACCCAATTCTGTTACCCTAAACACACTGAAGGAATTGCAAAAACCAAAAACTCAACTGCCCATAGGCCAAACAGGGAGAGAGACCTCTAATGACTGATTAAAGTCATTCAACACCAAATGGACTTGGTGGGTCATCTGAAATTCCAAGGACAAAGCTGAGGCCAAGGCTGTGCTCAAGAATTGGATACACTGAACATAAGCTGAAGAAGTGACCAATGAAATGATTAAAGAGATGAGAAAGACAGAAAGAAACTAAGCATTGGAGTGGCTGGATGAGCTGAGGGGATCAAAAAAGTATAGTTGATGACAGAAGGCTGTGGAGAGGGACCTGACCACAAAGGTACAGATCCAAACCCTGACCAACTGATCTATGCATACTGTCACCACCCTGATTGACAGTGGCTGTACTAGGAGTTCCATCAATTGTGCTTTCATCACCAAGCACAATCTTTCAACCTGAGTCACTGCAGGTCTGATCCTGGTCTACAATGCTGATGGGATCAAGAACCAAGCCAGTTCAATCACAGAATTTGTTGAACTCCACTTAATGGTTGAGGATCACATAGAATAGATTGATCTGGCTGTGACCAACTTGAGATCTAAAGAGATCTTTCTTAGTCATAACTGGCTCACATGGCATAACCTGCTGATCAATTGGAAGACAGGATGTATCACCCTTGTGCAATGCCACTGCTGAAAGATCCCCTTTGAGCTACTGGATGAGAATCCCAAAGACTGATAGAATGAAGAGATGGAGGATGAAGATACTATTCTCATAGTTGACCTGAATCAAGCAATCTGCATCTGAGCAACACATCATGCCAATAATCTGGCTGCCAAAGCAAATGCTGGAAAGAAGGCCAAGATGTTTGAAGCAATAGTGCTAGGATAGGCATAGAATTATTGGAATCTCTTTAACAAAGAGAATTTTGATGAGTTGCCAGAACTGAAACCTTGGAATCATGCAATTGAACTCATTCTGAATGCCAATGCTAATCTGGACTGCAAAATGTACCCTCTTGGGCAACTGAAACAACAAGAACTCAACAAGTTCCTAGATGAGAATCTTTCCAGCAGAAGGATCCAACCATTGAAGTCCCCTATGGCTTCTCCCTTCTTTTTCATCAAAAAGAAGGATGGGAAACTCTGATCAGTTCAAGACTACTGGAAGCTAAATGAGATAATGATCAAAAACTATTACCCACTTCTTCTGATCTCAGAGCTGAGGGATAAACTCTGAGGAGCAAAGTATTACACCAAACTGTATGTATGATGGGAATATAACAATGTCCAGATCAAGAAAGGGGATAAATGGAAGGCAGCATTCTGAACTAACCAAAGACTTTTTGACCCCATGATCATGTTCTTCAGACTAATGAACTCTCCTGCCATCTTTCAATAGATGATGAATGACATTTTCAGAGACCTCATCATGACTGAAAAGGTTACTATCTATCTGGATAATATCTTGATCATGTCAAAGGATCAGAATGAGCACTGGTGACTCATATGACAAGTACTTGAGTTGATGAGGAAGCACAAGCTCTTTCTTAAGGCCAAAAATGTGAATTTGAGGTACTAGAAACTGAGTACCTCAGGGTTATTATTATGAGTGAAGGAAACATCTGGATAGATCTGGTTAAGATGGCAGGAGTGATGGAGTGGCCAATGCTGACCAAGAAGAATGAGTTGCAATCATTCCTTGGATTTATGAATTTCTACTGCTGATTTATCCAAGATTACAGCAAGATGGTTTGCCCTATGATATAACTCATGGAGAATACCCCTTGGTCCTGAGGAATTGCACAGCAGTCAGCACTTAAAGATCTGAAAAGATGATTGGCCAAGAACATGGTACTGGCAATACTGACAGAGGAGGGACAATTCAGAGTTGAGGCTGACTCAAGTGAAGGAGCAATAAAAGCAGTACTCTTGCAGGAACAGGATGGGAAATAGTAACCTGTTGCCTTTCTCTTGAAGGCACTCACCACTACTGAATGCAACTATAAGATTTATGACAAGGAACTCCTTGCCATCATGCTTGCACTTGCTGAATGGAGGTATTATCTGATTGGTGCCATTCATACCTTCAAGGTCTGAACCAACCACCAAAATCTATGATACTTCTGACTACTGCAGAAACTTAATTGATGACAAGCTCAATGAGTCACCAAGCTCTTCCATTATCAGTACACTTTACACCATAAGGTGAAAACAGCAAACAAGAAGGTGAACTTATTAAGCTGCCAACCTGATCACAATCAAGGAGGAGAAGATGACAGCAGAGTGATGCTTCTGAGGCTGGAGCATTTCAGAGCTATGATAATGCCAATAGAGGAGGAAATGCATGAGCAAATCAAGAGCATGATGCAACAGATGGAGTCATGAGACCAGCAGATTGCCCTCTTCATCAATCATGAGTGGAGCATGACTAAATGAGAGGATCTAATCTATTACAACAATCAGATCTATATCTCCTGAGATCATGCACTCCAAAGAAAAATTATTGCTATGTCCTATGACCACATCACTGCAGGACATCCAGGAATTGCAAAGACAAAGGAGTTGGTGTTAAAAGAGTATTGGTGGCTGAAGATAGAACAAGACATCAAGAAGTACATTAAGGAATGTGAGACTTGTCAGCAGACTAAGTCAAACATCCAGGCACATGCTGCTCTGCTTCACCTGAATGAGGTCTCCAAGAAACCCTGGACTCACATCTTGGTTGATATAGTCACCAGACTCTCAGATTGCAATGGCTATGATGCCATTCTCATCATTGTTGACCAGTTCTCTAAGGTGAACATTTCAATCACATGCTCAATGGAATTAACATTGAAAGGATGGGTGAAGATATTATGTGATAAAGTCTACATGAAGTACAAAATGCCTCAAGTCATCATTTCAGACCAAGGCCCACAATTCATATCAAAGTTCTTGGATGATCTCTATCACCTCCTTAACATCTGAAGCAATGCCTCAACTGCTTACCACCCATAAACTGATGGACAAACAGAGCATATCAACCAAGAAATTAAAAAGTACCTCTGGATGTTCATCAATCATAGACAAGATGATTAGACTGAGTAGCTTGCTCTAGCAGCATTTCAGCACAACAACCATATTCTTTCTGCAATCAGCAAGACCCTCTTCTTCACCAACCATGGACATTACCCATATCAGCTGAACAAGCCAATGCACTAATATTGAACCAGTGAATGGGCCTTACCTATACATGCAAAAGTCATGCTGATGCTTGAAGATTCTATATTACCCATTTAGCTACAATTATGGAACAGTAGTAGAACTTACTAGAATACCTGTAGAGGTATATAAGTTCTGTAGTCATACCACTAATAACAGGTTCTTCATCTCTCCATTCCCTTATTGCTGCTAACAGGTTATGGGCCCCAATTATAACTAAATCTTAATGATAACAAACTCACCTCGCATACACTCACAATAACTCTAATATGTCCACCAACACTTTCTTATCCACTGCAAAACTTGGCAAGTACTTTGCAAAACTCCCTACATGTAAGGCCAATGGTATGAACTGGATCTTCTTTCATGACCATTTTCTTTTCACTATTAATGCTGCAGGTCTGAGTGTCCATTTTGAGGACATTGCAACTGCAGCTGAACTGACTGCACCTGCTATGGTAGACCCCAAGAACCTCACAGCAGATGAGACAAATGTGATGAATGAGTATGCAAAGAAGCATCAGATTTGGAAGTCTGAGCAGGCTATAATCAAATAGAGAATCACTTCAGTCATCTCAGATTCATTATTCTTGAAGGTGAAGGGTGAAACAATGGCAAAAGTGATATGAGAGAAAGTAAAGTCAGAGTATGAGAAGAAATCAAAGATAGTCACAGTTGACCTGTGCTGAAAGCTCCAGGATGAGTGGTGCACAGAAGGAGATGATGTGAAGACTCACCTAACAAAGCTACAGTCCATATGCAAGGACCTCATCACAATGAGAGCTGACCCAGGTGATGATAACTTTGTTGCAATAGTCTTAGGATCACTTTCTGCCTCATTTGAAACATCTCTCTCTGTGCTTACAGGTGCATCCACACTTCTTGGCAAGGCTCTCAACCCTGACATGGTGCTACAGGGCATCAGTGACAAAGCAGACCGATAAAAGGTCAGATCAGAAAAGAGTGAGAAGGAAGCCACACTCTATAGTGGGAACAGTGGAAAGAAGTCAAAGAAATCAGTGGAATGTTACAACTGCTACTGGAAGGGACATATGGTGAGAGATTGTTGGGCAAAAGGAGGAGGAAAAGAAGGACAAAGACTGAGGAGGGGGTATGGACAGGCAAATTCAGCAAAGACAGACAAGGAATTTGATGCCACATGGTTTGCAGAGAAAGAAGAAGACAACTTCTTGAATCTACCAGCATTCCAGGATGTCAGCAACAGCAAAGAAGAAGATGCTGACAATGAAACTGATAAATTAGACATTAGTACATCAGAACTCATAGGAGAAATAATCTCACTGACTTCTGGGAATCTTGCAGCAGCTGCTGCTGATCCAGAATATGAGTATGAAATTGACATCTTTAACTCTGGTGCTACACAGCATATCACACTATCACACTATCAGCTGATAAACTATATAGCTATCAAGCCTTGAGAGATAATAGTAGCAGATAAGAAGTTCAAAGCACTCAGAAAAGGTGACATGTATATCACAATTTCTAATGGAAAGGATCAGATGACAAAGGCTCTTGTTAAAGATATACTCTATGCACCTAACCTTAGAGTTACACTACTTTCTGTTGGCCATATCACTCAGGCAGGATCTTTCCTTAACTTCAAAGATAATGAGTGTCATGTTTTCAACAAGAAGCATCATCAAATCAGATCAATACACCATATCAATAGGCTATATAGACTTCATGTACCAGCATCCCACCTCAAACCTATCATATTGATGATAGACCATATATTGTCACACTGAATAAACTACATTGTTTGATGAGTCATTTTCCTGTTGATGCAGCAAAAAAGCTCATGAAGGATCAATTAGTTGATGGTCTAGAACTTGATGAAGGAATTCCTATCTCAAAGGAGCAATATCCATCATGTCTCCATAGTAGAATGATGAGGAAAGCAATGTCTAAGACCAGGGAAAATGATGCATCAGAGAGAGTAGATGATCAAGTCCACAGTGATATGTGGAGACCAGTGATGATTGAGACACCCCAGCACAAGAAATACTATGTCACATTTACAGATGATGCATCATACTATTCTGTAGCTATGCTACTCCACTCAAAAAATGAAACATTACAGTCATTTAAGGATCTTGAGATGAGATGAGACAAGGCACATGGTATCAAGATAAAAACATTACATTCAGATAGAGGAGGAGAGTACAAGAGTCATGAATTCAATGACTACTTAGCTGAAAAAGAAGTCCAGCATCACTTTACAGTCTATGACACACCTGAGCACAATGGAGTCACTGAGAGACTCAATTAAATGCTTCTTGAGAAGATTCAAGCTATGCTTCATGCTGTAGGACTACCAAATAACTTGTGGGGCGAAGCACTGAAACATGCCATTTGGTTAAATAATCAGATATCATCAAAGGCTATTGGTGGCTGTACATCATATGAAGTGTTTCATAAATTGAAACCAGACTTGTGGAATATCCAAGAATGGGGCTGCAAGGTCTGGGTACATGTTGGAGACAGTCTAAAGCTTGAAGGATGTTATGATTTTTCTATCTTTTCTTCACTTTAATCTCTATTTATGCTTAGTCATCACAACAAGCTGAGTCTGTCATTGTCTTCCAATGCAATGACACCTCTCAATGATATACAACAACTCTTTTGTAAACAGTAATAATACTCAAGGACAAAGAGCATAAAGACTCAGACAGATACAATTAGTAGTAGTATTTATATCTTAACAGATGACTAGTATATAAGTAGGCTAGCTCTCACTGTGTATCCCCAGCTTTGAGCTAAAGTCTATACTTCACCATTCTACCTTGAGCCAACTGAAAGGCCTTAGAACACAACACCATATAAACACATATAGTGAACTCAGGTGTGACTGTGCAAATATAATACAGTGCCTGTTTATCATGTGTTTTAGATCACATGTCACTTGAGCTTAACAAAGGATATGCTCATGAGGGTCAGTGGCTTGGTTTTGACTAAGAAAGTAATGGACATCAGATCTATTATTCAAATAGTCATATCATACATGTCAAATATAGCATCAAATTCCCAGAAACATGCAGAAGTGAAGGAGGGATACATAGAGTGCTGAATGAGGAGAAGAATGAAGAAGTTAGTGATAAAAAGAAAACCAAAAACATCTAGCACACACCTGCATTGTCTAAGCAAATATCACTTTCTCTACCAGGTTCTCCACTCACTACATCACCAGACACCCCACTATGAAGCCCAACACTAAATCCAACTAAACTGATTGCAGCACAAGAAATTTCAAGTAAAATTGATGTGAAGAATATTATCAAAGGTACTCAGACATGTCAAGCTGCCCATTTTGCTGAGACTGAGCCAGTCACTGACTCAGACATCATGGAGTATGCATATTCAGCCAGAGGAGACCTGTCTGATAAACCAAGTGTGAAAGAAGCAATGATGAGAGAAGACTGGCTGCTATTCAAGCAGGCCATGGACATTGAGATGGAAGCAATGAAGAGAACAGGCACATTTTATAATGGACCAGTGTCAAGGCCAATTGAACACAATATCATCAGATCAAAATGGGCACTACAAATTAAGCAAAAGGCTAATAGAGAAATCAACAAATACAAGGCTCATCTTATTGCACAAGAATTCACTCAAGTCTAAGGAGTAGATTACTTCAAGACATTTTCACCTACAGCAAAACTATTCTCACTCTGTATCATCCTCTCACTTGCTGCATATTTTAATTGGAACATCAAAGTGTTCAATTACTCAGCTGCATTTCTCAATAGTGAGTTTTCAACTGATGAAAAGATTTCATGGAACAGCCACCTTATTACACTAATAGAAACTCAAATGATGTCATATGTCTGCAGTACACAATATATGGACTTAAACAATCTAGCTGTAAATAGTATGAGAAGCTAACATCAGCACTTGCCATGCTAGATGTCTACCCTCTCAAATCAGATTATGCAGTCTATTATTTCAATCAAGGGCATAATTTCATATTTATTGTCATCCACATTGATGATAGTACTATTACTGGCAACTCACCTACACTAATCAATAAAATATAAGAAATCAGTTGCATCTTTAAAATCACAATGCTTGGACTGATCAGCTGGCTACTGAGTATGGAGATCACACAAAACAGAAAGAAACACACTCTGACACTCTCACAGACCACTTACATTGATTCTCTTCTATGAAAATTCCATATGACAGAATGTAAAGCTGTTTCTGTTCCTCTTGATCCATCCACCCAGCTCTCATACAAACAATACCCTGCTCTATCCAATCACAAAGCCATTGATGACATGTGAGATATTCTATACCAGAAACTGGTTGGGGGACTTGTCTGGCTTGCTACAGCCACACACCCAGACTTAGCATTCACAGTCTGTGTACTCTCATATTTTGTTGATAATCCTGGTCATCCACACTGGAATGCAGCAAAATGAGTACTTCAATACCTGAAAGGCACTTGGATTCTAAACCTGACTTATAATGTATCAGATGAGACCCTAGGCCTTGACATCTTTAGTGATGCTGATAGAATGTCACTTGAAACAAGAAAAGCCATATCATGCTATGCATTCATCTTGAATGGTGCTGCCATATCATAGTTATTGAAGCAGCAAGAAATTGTTGCTTTATCAACTACTAAAGCTGAGTACATTGCAATGACCTCCACAGCCAAGGACACACTTTGGTTCCATGCCTTCATCTTGGAAATATTCAGCATGGTTACATTTTCTCTCACAATTTACAGCAACAATCAATCAGCAATCTCTCTAGCACATGCAGACCTTGGTCAATTCCATGCATAAACCAAACATATTAATATACAATATCATTTCATTCATGACAAAATACAGGCAGGAATACTCAATGTTATCTATTGCCCTACAAATGAGATGGCAGCTGACATTCTCATTAAGGCACTGGTCTTATTCAAATTCCAACCTCTTGTTCAGAAGCTTGGAATTATTTCAGCTTGAGGGGGAGTGTCAGCTGAACAAGCCAATACACTAATATTGAATCAGTGAATAGGTCTTACCTGTACATGCAAAAGTTGTGCTGATGCTCAAAGATTCTATATTATCCACTTAGCTACAATTAAGGAACAGTAGTAGAACTTACTAGAATACCTGTAAAGATATATAAGTTCTGTAGTCATATCACTAATAACAGGTTCTTCATCCCTCCATTCCCTTATTGCTGCTAACAATCTGCATATTATGATTACCAATTGACACAATACCATGACCCTCACATCAACTAACTTTGCAAATCTAATGACTTCTATTCATATCAAAATGCACACCACTCTCAAAAAGGCAGCTGCCACTATGAAAATGCAATATGATAAACATTGCTGACTAGCACATAAATATTCTATTAATGACAAAGTTTGGCTCAATGCCACCAACTTCACCTTCTCTGTCTGAAATGTAAACTGGCCAACAAATGCACTGGACCATTTCTGATCCTGGCAAAAGTCAGTGCCTCTGCTTACTGCTTAAAACTCTCTAATTTCTGGCATGTACATCCAGTCTTCAATAAAATCCTCCTCACTCCTTACATTGCACCTGCCTTTCCTAACCAGGAGACTCCTCCTCTTCTAGAGCCTGATCTAATCAATAACAAGGAATATTATGAGATGGAGCAAATTCTTGATCATAAACTGGAAGGTTCAGGCATGTGGTGGAGGCAGCTACACTGTCATTTATTACTGGTCAAGTGGAAGGGTTATAGACTGAAATACAACCAGTGGATTCATGAGCACAATATGAATGCAGACAATGCTATATGTGACTATAAAATCTCCATCAATTGATCTATCAGAATGATAGTCTTAATAGAGCAGTGATGTTATGATTTTTTCCTTACCTTATCACTTTTGTTTCTTATCTTATCAGAGTACCTATCTCAAGCACTTATCCATAGGCATGGGGAATTATGTAATCACAACAGACAAGCAGCACCATTGTCCTCAGTCACCTCATCCATGAACAATGCCCTATTGTCTACTCTCTGATAATCAGATAGAACCAGTAGTATAGTGTAAAATAGTACAATAGACAGTAGTTATATTTATCATGACTCAGACCATATATAATTAGGATAGCTCTCACTGTAATAGCCTAGCTTTGAGCTATAAGTTTATCTCACACTATCTCCTCTTGAGCCTAGCTTGTCTTTAGCCTTGAAGCACTTCACCTGTCAGAACACATTGAGTGGACTCTAGCATGACTGTATGAACATGATACAGCACTAGTTTATCACTTTTTCAGATCATGTGCCAGTTATATCTAACACAAATTCATCTTATAGGCAGAAGAAGCCACCTATATGCTAGCCAGAGCCTAGCCAAAACTTTCCACTTGTTCAACAGTATGACTAGAGCTGTGATATCTTCTCATTCCTACTGACACATCTCTTTCAACCATACAGAATTGTCCAGCTTTCTCAGCTTGAGCTCTCTCCTTGAAGGGTCCCTCTAGCTATGGCACCTTTTTATCAATTGCTTGCTACTGAATAGCAGCCATGGTATGCCATCCAGACATAATTTCCACTTATATTGAAACTTTTGCAGTCCACTCAACTGAGTACAGCATTTTGAAAGGCTGAATTTCCTGGTCACATGGATTTATCTTATGCAATATACTTTTTACTAGAGACATAAAAGTGGTTTGATTATTTCAGATATCAGAAATGACAACAAAGCCTGCTTGAAACTATTGCTGTCTACATCAAAGCACTTGCATATTATCCAACAAATACATTGTCATTGGTCAATGTCAATGCAGATTTCATTATTTTTGTTTCTCAACCAATCACAGGAATCCCAGACAATTATCTTTCAGTCAATTCAGATATCAGCATCTTTCAATGTCTGACACTCAGCCTACTAAGATGGATCACATGACATTCACCTCATACCATGTTGTTCAGAACTATCTGTCACTCAAACTTAATATATATCCATCCATCTTTGCTCCAAAGTCTATTCTGAACAACAACATTTTATCAGTAAGTCTCTTACTGATTCTCATCCTTGCAGCTGAGCTTCCATAGCTATTGATCTCTCATTGAGCTACACCACATTGGCTGCTGCTACTCTAACTGAGAATGGCAATGTGATGT